AGAACAGATCTTCGAATCTCTTTACCCAACACTTTGACTCAAAATGGAAGTAAACTCAACAACTATGAAAGAAGCGATTTCTCGAAACCCAACTTTTCTTTGCATAAATTGTCTTCACCGCTCGTCTGCTCCATTTAACTTGTTTAACATATGCAAACTGTGCACTTCTGTATCTGGTCGTCTGCTACTTCTCGAAGCGATTTGTAGTCAATTTGGCGGTATGGCCGATTTTCTGTAGCGGTTGCGATACTCCAATCCCTGCTGTTGTGGCCTTCAGGACCTCAAAGTTGTATTTGTTTCTTCGAGCAGACTACATTCACTCATAAATCCTTCGCTTTATTTCCAAAACTGTTGCACACTCTTCTTCCTTGCGATCTCTGTCCCCCCGGTTTAGCATAGTTCCCTGATCCAGGCGTCTCCTTTTTGCTCGGTTTGTCATAGCCTTGCTTCATCCGGCTTTATTAGGCAATAGGCGGAGTGTGAAAACCCAATTCCCATCAAAGTTATGAGGACAACCGCTTTTCGAAGCAATCCTCAGAGACACATCGTGATATGACTTTACATTTTGAAGGAAAGTTGGTTGTAAGGATTTCGTGATGTCGTCTCACCAGAGCCCAAAGAAGGATTGTCGATCAGAGAAGACTGCTGAATTGTGCGTAAACATCCTTGGCTCACCGTCATGCAACCTCGATGAAACTGTGTTAAGCTTTAGTCTGTACCATCGTGACAAACATTATCAGAGCATCGAACATATGAAGACCGAGATGGTGTGGTCTTTTGTGTGGTCGCAGTAATATGGTGCTACGAATGGTAAAACTCACTGACGATGCCGGAGAAACGTCTGGGAATGTACCATGTCCACGGTCCGACTTTGGAAATAATTATGCATACAATTGACTCAGGACAAGGTGCATTCCTTTAAATCTTCCTGCCAACATGACCAAGTTGCGAAAATAAGGTCAAACAACTTATTATCAGAGCATGTTTATTCTGTTTTTGCTCTATTCCGGTAAGTATGGATACCAACTCTGATAATGTCTGTCACGGAGGTACAGACGAAAGCTTATCATCAGAGTCGCTTGACGGTGAGTCCATGACATCTTCGCACACTCCAACAATCAATCCTCCTTGCGGTTTCGGTGAGACCACATGACAAATTCTTTCCAACCAACTTTTCCTTCGAAATGCAAAGTTTTTGCCAACTCTGTCTTCCTCCAATATCTTGTTCATCAGACTTTAACTAACCAAATCACTTTATACTTAATCAAAAAGGTCAGATGTAGAGTATATATACCAATTTTTAGGGATTCGCCGGTGAGCTTTCTTGACTAGTTAGCTTTAATTTTGCTGTGACGATGATATCTTGCTCTGATGATGTCCGTCACATGACGGACAAAAGCTGGAATCAAGAAGATTGTCTCGGAAATAGCGTCAGTATGAACCTTTCAGTAAAGCCAATGGACAGCTGATCAAGAGGAATCCCTTGTCGTCTTCTGATGGAACCGATCTTAGAATCTCTTCAACCAACAATTTCGCTCGAAATGGCAGTGACCTCAACAATTATGAAAAAAGCGATTCCTCGAAACTAACTTTTCTTCGCAAAAATTGTCTTCACAGCTCGTCTTCTCCATTCAACTTGTATAACATGTGCAAACTGTGCACCACCGTGACCAACATTATCAGAGCATGTTTAGTCTATTTTTGCTCTATTCCATGAAGTATGGATACCTACTCTGATAATGTCTGTCACGGCGGTACAGACGAAGGCCTATCATCGGAGTCGCTTGACGCTGAGCTGATGACATCTTCGCACACTCCAACGATCAATCCTCCTTCCGTTTCCGGTGAGAACACATGACAAAATCATTTCAACCAACTTTTCCCTCGAAATGCAAAGTTATCGCCAACTCTGCCTTCCTCCAATAATCTGTTCATCAGATCTTTTCTCCAAGTACGCCAATTCTCTTCATAAGCTTCCGTTTCTTTATGCTTTTATCGTATCAGGACCTTCTTTTTCATGCCTTCCAACTGATCTCGTTTCCAGTCTGTACTATTGGATCCGTTAATTCTGATCTTTCAGTAATCATTTTCTTGCAGAGCTTTTGGTATTCCTCATTTCATATGCTCATTTTCCTCCATTTTTCGTCAATCTACAGATGTTTGCACATGTTGTGTGGGTAGACTTGTGAAGAATGTGGTTTTTTTCTTGTGGCACATTCACTTTTGTGAGTCTTTATTCATCCTCACTCTTCTTTCATACTCGCCGTCCTGGCGCCAGCTTTCACGGCCCGTAGGTTTATTTGCATCACTTCAATTGGTTAACCGTTGACGAGGGATATCCTAATAAATCTGTACAATTCTTCATCCCAGAATTGCACATCCCTTCATCGTAGGCTCCTCATCAATCCTACCTTTAGTCGGTAGTTGTGATGGGACTAGAAATTGACTATTCTTCCGGCAGATGACTTCTTGTTGAACAATTTTTTTCTTGGGCGTCTCATTAGAACGAAACATTTCGACATCCAGGATAGGCAATCGCTCACCCTCCTCTACTTCTATCGTCAACTTGATTTTTTCATCAATCGGGTCTGTAAATTTCATTGAATTTTCCAGTTTTTCTCTTCCAGGCAACCAAAGTGCCAAGTAATTGACATCTTCACTGTTAGTCTTAATATTTTTTCATACAAATTGCCGTTGAATGTGTGCCCTAAGTCACACTGACATTCGACCCAGTTGCGAAAATGAGGTCAAACCACTTTTATACATAAAAAAGAGACTGCGACCAAAATAGATGCCAGAAAATCTTGGTCTTCATACCTACGTATTAATTTCATTGAATGTAGTTTTCTGTTCCAGAGTACATTGGTACTATTTTCATGCGTGTGACACACTATACTGCTGACATGCTACTTACAAATTTTGCTTAATGTTTTCCAAGGTTGCTATGCAAAAGTGCCAGTCACAATTGCAATCTTGGAATGTAAGGTTAAGGTAAAGTTGTCAAGTAAAATTCGAATGGCATTTTCAATTTCTCGAATATATTTATTTTATCAAGAAGTAAAGTGTCAAGCAAATGAGGGTGATTTCCTTCTTAAAGCAGTACTGCAACGCGGAAATTTTCATTTAACATTCAGGTTTTTCAGTTAGTCATATGAATAAATTGAGAATAACTTCAAGTGATTTAGTGAGTGATTACACGGTTTACTCGATTACCCTTGCTTGCATACGCAAAACCTCGGCAATAAATTTGGCTTTTTTGAATTTAATTTCCTGCTACAGATTGCACAAGAGCGTCATGGCGCCAGAATTATTCTACACAGATGTCGACAGCAGAAGCACTTCAGTTTAACTCGACTGCTGCTTATAAGCCAGTATCATTTTTACTACTGATGAACTACTTAAATTGTAATCTTCATCGATGTGCAAATAGCCCTTAGTGTATATGCCTAAATATAATGCGTACTTTTTCTACAAGTCCTTTGTATTCGCATAGCTGTTATACGATGAAGTGTGATCTTTGTACCAGTTCAAGTTAAGCTAGCCTCCAATACAATTTATTGTAGGTGTGTGAAGGCAATTGTGATTTGATATTTTTCCCATCTTACATAGTTGATAATTGTTAATTATGCTTTATGTGATCGCCACTATTCCATGTAGACTCATGGGAAATGACAGATGGAAAAGTGCTAAAAAATCCATTTTGTGTCCACACTTTTTGACTTATCTTAAACAGGCTTTCTTAAAAGAATTGAATACAATATCGCATATTGAAGTAGGATACCGAATCACAACATTAACTTTGCTCTGCTAGACTTTACCCATAGTTAGTTTTGAGTGGGTTTTCGAGACTATCAGTAAATCAGATACATGACAAGTGTTTAGCCTATTTCGTGTTTGCCCACCTTTCGCGAAAGCAAGGCTATGTGAAATTCAATGGAAAACATATCATTGTGAGAAAATGCAACTATCACTCCTCTATCTCCATACACGAAATCGGGTGAACATAACTGCTAGACGTTACCCGTTTGCGTTTACATCAGGTTTCACATGTATTAAGTGAGTTCACCGTCGCCCTGAATCTGATGACAAATATAAGCAGAACAAAGATAAAAAAAAGGATCCCAAAAGTACTTGCATCTGCTATGACATAGCCATTGGGTGGACGGTAACCAAAGTGACCCAAATGACGTGTTTACAAACACACTTACACAATCCTGCCCAGCGAGCATAGAGAAAAGGTGCCTCCATGACTACACGAGGCGGCTTGACACGGACTCTTGAGAGGCCATGACTCTGCGGGTGGAGGCCGAAGTGGGTGTCCTCGAAGGTGGCGTCTTGATGCTGAAGGATCCGTGCGGCTTGAAGGCCCATGGCCTCGGCCAATTGGCAGGCGAACAGCCAAGAGGGCGTCAGATTGGCCTGGATACGCTCCGACATGACCATCTGATGGAGAGCAAGGATTCCGGTTGAGAGACGCTTGAGGGGTGGGCAAGATTGGCGACAAGAGAGAATCAGGTCCATGAGGAGAAGACCTTGAGGCATGTATTTTTCTCGAGACTAACTACTCATAATCATTGATGAGTAGACTAATATTTCGTATGAAAGTGGATAAGGGAATATTTGTAAAGAGGTTGCAATTTGGTCATATTGGTAGGAAGACCTAGAGGAAAACACCTAGTCCGTAGTCCATTATATGCATACACATTTCCAAAGTCGGACCGTTGATGTGGTACATTTACAGCTGTCTCGCCGGCATCGTCAGTGAGTCTCGCCAGTCTTAGCACCACACAACAACTCGTCAAAGAGACAAATGAAGCCGATCCTTTGACCAAGCGTGTGCTAAACAATTGTGATATCTCCCCTTCTGCCCTGGGTTATTCACATTTCATATATCCTCCTATCACGCTTTCATTGTTACGATTTGTTTTAACGGGCTTATTTCGATGAAGTGTGGTGTGCTCCTTTGAGCGACATGAAACCTTCACACTCCAACACCCCTTCCCCTCCATCCTTGTGCAGGGAATGTTGATCAGAGTTTGTTTTATTATTGTGCAGTCTTATCCCAGTCTCTCGCTTGCTCTTTAAAATCCGTCTGCTCTCTCCCTCGTTCACCTGTTTCACTCGACTCCTGCCACCACATCTGCCCTACCTAAACGATTATTCGCCCTCCACCGCGTCTGGGTGACTAATTAAAGGCTCAAGCCTCTGATCGTCATGATCACACCTTTGCTACATGTACCACGTATCTGGTACAGCAGACCTATCGTCAGCCAACTAGATCCGGTCCCCGCCGTCTCTATCCTGTTTATATCCCGAATACCACGTCTATTATTTAACATACCCTTGTCTCTTGTGTGCCAACCTACACATGTTGTGGTACTGCTTGTTTTGATTTGATTCAATGTTGAAGCACAACGTTTGTGGGTTGGCACACAAGAGACTAGAGCATAGGAAGTCATAGACTTGGTATTTAGGATAAAAAGAGAATAGAAACAGCGGAAGCTAGAGCTGGTTGGCTAACAATAGTCGTGATGGCAGGATCACGTTTATGATCAAACACGTCTATTGTTAGTCAAATAGTTTTAGTCTACACCGCGTCTTTCCTGTTACTATCTGTGATACCATGTCCATCGCTTCCTACGCTCTAATCTTTTGTGTGCCAACCCACAAATGTCGTGGAACAGCTTGTTTTGATTTGGTTCAATGTTGGGCCGGGGAGAGAGCAGACGGATCTTACGAGGCAAGAGAGAGACTGTGATAAGACCTAGGGAGGGAGGGCTGCGCAATGATATGGCAGACTCTGATCAACATTCCCAGCACAAGAGTTAAGGTTTTCATGAGTGCCGCTCAAAAGAGCACACCACACTACATCGAAATAAGCACGGTAAAACAAATTGTAACAGTGAAGGCATGATAGGATGATACCGGAAACGCAAATAACCCAGGGCAGAAAGGGAGATACCACAATTGTTTAGCTCACGTTTGGCCAAAGAATGGGCTTACTTGTCTCTTCTACGAAGTGTTCGAAGAATGACGATACTCACTGACGATGCCAGCGAAACGTCTGGGAATGTACCACGTCCACGGTTCGACTCTGGAAATGATGATCCATACAATGGACTCCGGACAAGGTGTGTTCCTATAAGTCTTCCTACCAAAATGACCAAGTTGCGAAAACAAGATCAAACTACTTCTATACAAAGAAAGGAGACTGTGACCACACAAAAGTCCACACCATCTTGGTTTTAATACCTTCGATTGGGATATTCGTAAGTTAATCTCACCAGAAGTCTACGTATAATTCTTATTCACCTTATCTCGTTTAAGGTAATGCAGAACTGGTGGTTGATTTTTTCCACAATACTATGAGTAGAGCTGGCGTTTCCATTGCATTTCACATAGCCTTGATTTCCCAAAATATTTTCGCATCCCGGCAGAGGTGGACGGCAGTTTCGACCTCGCATAGGTTTTAGCAACACCCTCAGCGGGAGTCGAACTATGATAGTGCAACTTGTAAGCTTGACACGTTGACAATTAAAACGTGTGTGAATTTCAAGCAACGTCATGCATTTTGCCATGTCATATTCTCTGTTGTGATTGTCGACGAAGCAAACTTATCTTTGCTATAGCAATCGATGTAATTACTTTTTTCGTAAGTGAATGTGATATGGAAAATGCCTGATATTCCTTGAAATTCACATCTGTCCTGTGACCAAAAGGCACTCGTGGCACTCCCTGGGGGATGTTGAAACTGCAGTCCACTCTGGATGAGAACATATTTTAGGCAAGCAGGACTATGCAGAATTCAATGGAAGCGCCAGCATTACTCATATGATTGTGGAAAAATCAACTTAAACGAAATCAAGTGAGTACAAATCATATTATTTATTGAATTTTAGTCTCGAAAAACCTACTCACTCTTGAATAGGACGTTCAGGTTGACGCAGTCCACGAGACATCACACCTCACTTTGGATGAAAACTGATTGAGCTTTCGTCCATCACACGATGGACACCATCAGAGCTGGAATTCATTCTTGTAAAGATCTCACACTTCGTGACTGAGTACTAGCGTGACTTCCAGCTCTGATGATGTCCATCGTGTGATGGACGATAGGTCAATCAGTTTTCATCCAGAGTGAAGTATGCATTTTCGCGGACTGCGTCAACTTGAACCTCGTATGAAAGCCAATCGGCGATTCCATTCTTTATGCACTTTCATATGAAAAACAAGTACCTCCAACAATGTTATCCCTGGAGATTCATCGAAACCCAGTCATTCTTGGTTGTTCAACTTGCTTCTCAACAGCAAAGCAACTTTACTCGGATCGACGCCAAAGCAACGCACAGTCTCCACATCTCGCTGCTAGGCAGCCTATTGCCTCTTTCACCTTGGTCACCATCCTCTCATCACTTCTATACACACAGGCTACCACTACTACTTCTACTATCGCCGCTATCATCACCACCGTCACCACGACTAGTGATGCCGGTAATGATGATGATGATGATGATAATAATAATAATAATAATAATAATAATAATAATAATAATAATAATAATAATAATAATAATAATAATAATATATTAATATTAATAATATTAATAATATTAATAATATTAATAATATTAATAATAAAATAATAATATTGACTATAATAATACTAATAATAAAATATCAATACGGATACTAGTACTAAGAGAAGGCATTAACATTACGACTAGCAGCAATGATAGTAACAATTAAAGATTTTGCCAAATGTTCTCTCACCCAAACCAACTCGCCCGCGAGTTGTGGTAGCAAGGCGCCAGTGCCCAGGACAATCTGGCTGAGCAAGGCCAAGGGTCCAATGCCCGAAGCTGCGGCGCAATCCGACGACTTTCCTGACATTAGCGGAAACAGTCCGGGCTCTGGAAGATGAAGCAGCGTGAAGTGACCGAGGCCTGAGTCCAAGTCCCGACCACAGCCAGTCTGGGGCTCGTGGACAGACGCCGTTGGCCAGTCTGTCGTCTCCTCCGTGAGGACAGGCACCAGGCGCGGCGGGAAGCGGGTCTCGGGCCTGGGACGCAGACTGTGTGGGCCGGCTCCGACGAAGCAAGAGACAAGAGGCCTCGACTCGTCGAGAAGTTGGCGTAAATCGTGGTACAGCGGCGTCTCGGCTGGTGTTCAGGCATTTCGATAAAGCAAAATATAACCATAGAGATCTACCTTCAAGGCGCGGAAGTTAACTTTTGTGCAATAAAGTAAAGATAAATTAAAGATGGCTTGGTGATATTTTCTCAACTTTGTCGTGTTTTTGTTGAGACTTTGTAATTTTTTCATTATTTTCTCTTTATCTAGCTTCTGTTAAACATTTGCAACACCTCAACTAGCGCCAAACTCCGGTATCTGGTGCATATGTGAAGGTTTTCTGCTGGGGATTTGGTGTTGGAATAAGAAATGACAACACTGATAGAGAAAGATATGGAGACCAAGATGGTGTGGCCTTTTGTGTGATCGCAGTCTCCTTGCTTTGGATAGAAGAGACAAGAGTCTCTACGAATGGTAAAACTTACTGACGATGCCGGCGAAACGTCTGCGAATGTACCATACAATGGACTCAGGACAAGATGCGTTCCTCTAAGTGCTCCTACCAACCTGACCAAGTTGCAAAAACAAGGTCAAACAACTG